TGTCCGCGCGGATCCGGAGTAGCCCGGCCTCCCCGCCACGCCCCGCAGCCGCGCTCCGCCCCTCACCCCGGGATCCACCCGAGCGCCCCCGCGGTGCTTTCCCACGCCCCCGCCAGGCGTTCCCACCCAGGGCCTGGGGACCGCCCCCCTGCATTCCCAGAGGGAGCCTGGGCCCTACTAGCCTTCCTGCAGATGCCGCAAGGTCATGGGGAAAGGCAGACTCTGGAGGTCCACCTCATTCAGTTCTAGCGGGGGGTGGGGGGGGGGAAGGACACCTCTACCCACCCTGCCTTCTGGAGTCTAACTCAGTTCCCTCCTGGGACAGCACAAACCCGGTTAAGATGTTAGATGTTAACGCTCCTTGGTGCGACAGAACAATGCTTAGGGCACCTGTGCTTGTGGAGAGAGAGAGAGAAAGCAAGAAATCGCCCCCCCCCCCCAGGGAGAATGGCCATGCTGCAGTCCCCTCTCCTCCTGGGACTTTGGGCACCCGCACACAGGTACCCAGCCTGAGTGAGGTTCAAGCCACACGGTTTGGGACTCAAACCCAGGTGGACCACATGGGAGCTCAGCTTCAACTACTCTGCCGCCTGAAGGCCCGGGTTTTTTAAATGACAGAGAAGCAGGAAGGAGAATTGGCAGCCCTGCTTGCTCAGGTTCCTGGGGTCCCTCTTGGCTTCTCAGGAAAAAGGGGAGTGCTCAAAGATCCCACCCCAGGGTCAGGTTACCCAGTCATGCTGTCCATGTGTGCTAGGTGCCAAACATAGGTCATCCTTGCTCCTATCCTGAGCCACCGGCCAGTACAGCTCCGTGTGACAGAAAAGAGGTCAAAGCCTAGAGAGGGCAAGTGACTTGCTTCCAGCCAACCAGAGAGACCTTGTCACCAACCCATGGTCCAAAGGAAGATAAGCATACGTCTTAAATCAGCTGGCTTTGCCCACCAGGGCTCCCGTGAGTGCTGGGAAGTGATTTCAGTTAGTCCTCGTGTTTTGATAGGCTCCTAGGTGCAGGAATTGTCCCAGAACTATGGTTTTCAGACTGGAGAGAAGCCCAGAATCACCTGAAGGCTGTCACGGCTAGAGCTAGTAGGCCCAGCTGCAGGCCTGAGAAATATTTTTTTAAGAATTGGTTAATTTTTTATTATTTTTTTCTTTTTTTGGAGAGGTTTTCGCTATAGGGCACATGCACTCGCGAGACAGACAGAAAGCAAGAAATCACCCCCCAGGGGGGATGGTCACGCCACAATCCCTTCTCCTCCATTCTCCTCTTGGGATCTTGGGCACACGCGCCCGGCGGGGGTTTTAAGCCACCGGGTCTAGGACGTGAACTGCGGTCGACTATATGGGAGTCCAGCAAAATAGCCATTAACTGCTGGATCCCAATTAATTTTTTAATTTTAAAAAAATTTGTTAAAAGGCATGTGCACTCACCAGAGAGAGACAGAGGCAGAGAGAAAGAAAGCAAGCTGCCAGGTACTAGGACCGTTGACCAGGTGGGAGTCCAGCACCTTAACCACTAGGCCGCCTGCCAGCCCCAAGAAGTTTCATTTCTAAAATGTTCCCAGGAATACTAGGAACAGGGACCACATTTGAGAACCTCTGTGCCAGAGGATTTACACAATGAACTCCAACTTTCATTTGAATGCCAAACAGGAGGTATCCTTTTTCTCATTTACGAATGATGAGCATGAGGCTCAAAGAGGTTCAGGTGACTTGCCCAAGCCCACCAGTAAGCAGCACCCTCGAACCGAGCCCTGACTGTGAGACAGGATGGGCATTTTACATCTACTGTCTCCGTTAAGGCTCATAATAATCCCATAAGGCAGTTCTTATTTTTAGTCTCAAGAAACAAGTGCAGAAACAGGCTCTGGCCAGTCCGTAGTGTGGTGTTGAAGGCAGCTCTGTCCCACTTAGCCAACTGCCTGGTTTGAGTCCTGGACCCAGCAGCTTGAAAAACATGCCCGGAGTGTGGTATGCATGCCCAAAATCCCAAGAGGAAAATAGAAGAGGAGGGATTGTAATTTGGCCATTCTCCCTGGAGGTTGCTTTCTCTCTCTCCCTCCTCTCTCTCTCTCCTGCAATTGCATGTGCCCTTTAGCAAATTTTAAAAAAAGAAGAAGAAAAGAAACAGACTCAAAGAGATTGCCTTGCTCAAGGCCACTCCCCAGTGGGAGTGCAATGAGCCTTCAGACCTGTCACCCTGTGGAGGGGCCTCTTCAAGGAAACAAAGCTGCTAGGACTCGGCACTCCCTGGCGCTCTGGCTCCTGGACTGCCCACCCCACCTCCAGGTCCCCCAGGTCTAGGGATGACCAGACACAGGATTTGGCCCTCCAGCCTGGGGCCAGCACTAGAGGATGGCCTTCTGCTGGGCGCCCCAGTTCTGCTTCTCACCCCCAAGGCCGTGCGGACTAAGGACCAGGGTGTGGAATGATGGCTGGGGAAGCTCTCAGGAGAAAGTGGCTTCCTGACAGTTATGAGCCTTCCTCCCTCAGGTCCGCAAGGACGGCAGCAGCTGTCCCACTCTGGCACCTGGAACAGGGGTCCTGGAGAAGACAGGGCAACTCAAATCAGAGGCCAGACCCCTTCCCCCTGACCGCAGTCACAACGAGATATTCAAGAGCACAGACGCACATCACAATGAAGTCCTTTTGGTTGCGATAAGTAAATAGAAGTTAAAACAGCCAAAGGTCCAGAGCACAGGAGGACACTATTTCTTTAAGGCCTGCCTCCAGGCACTGGGCACATTTCTGCCTGATTTGTGTGCACCTGTGTGGATGAGTGACTCAGATACACTGGGGACTCTCTGAGCGAGACCTTGCCATGCTGTCTGCAGCCAGAGGGGACGGAAGAAAGGGACAGAGGTGGTTCCCACGGAGTCAAGACCAGCCTGAGTTAAGGTGTCAGAGAGGGTGGGAAAGCCTGGTTCCTGCAGGGCACTGCCCTCCCAGTGGCACCAGGCAGCCCTGCCAGCTTGTCTGGGAGGCTCATGCACAGGGAAGCCTAGGGCCTGCCTCCCTTGCCCGGTCTCACCCCACCCGCCAGGCTGTGGGAGGGGGCGAGGCGTGAGCAGGGGCAGATGTCGATCCACCCCAGTTCCCCAGAGGACAGTAAGATGATCAAGCCAGGAGAGGACTGGCCTGAAGGCACTAGGCAGGCCCCATGTGCCTGCTGACCTCGAGAAAGAGGTGCCACATCCAGCATGCATGTCCCTAAACCAGGACAGGGACAGCTGTCTCTCTTACCTCCAGAGCTTGGTGCAAAGTCAAAGCAAGAGATTATAAAACGCAAGAAGGACTTCAGTGGGCACCTCTCAGGTAAAGGGGGATGATGTTTGAGAAGGGAGAGAAGGGGCAGGGCTGTCCCCCATCACAGGCTGGGATGTAACCAGGGCCTCCCTGGCTTCCCTTAATGACCGTGTCAGCCAAGCATGACTCCAGGCCACTGGCACATTGATTTACACCTTGGCCTTGGACCACATCTGGGATTATTTCCGGGTGGCTATTTCCTTGGAGTAAAGAACCCCTTTGCTTTGTCCTCAACTTAATTCTCTAGAATCTGAGATGTGGATATGCCTGTTTGGGAGTGGGGGGCCTCTGGCACTGGGGCATTTTGAGCAAGTCATGACCAGGTAGAATTCAATCCTAACCCCCTAAACCTCATCCTTCCCCAGTAAAGGTCCTTGTCATTTAGCCACTGTCAGACCAGGCATTGTCTGTCTGGGCCTTTCTCTGAAGCCCTCCTCCCCTGGGAGCTTTGGTATGAGGATAAGACTTGGGAGTCTCAAGGTTTGTCTGAAGGAAAAAAAGCACTCGACACATGCAAATGTCATTATTAAATATTCATACCAACAGGAATCTTATGGCAACCACCATATATTCCAGATAGGGAACATTCTGCCACTTTTCCTCAAACCCAGGGATCAGTCTCCACCCCCGGAGGAGGGGCAGGCTGGCACCCACTCTAAGTTTAGCTCTCAGGGCTCTGTTGGCATGGCATGCGGAAACCCGGATGCCTTTCATAGGAAGGCTGAGTCGCTCTGGCCTCAGGGGGGTCAGAGAGGCCCAAAGTTAGAGCTAGGAGGCAGAAAGTGGGCCCAGGCCAGGAGGATAGGACCCCTCCTGGGGTGGAGGCCCTGGTGGCTGCAGGAGGCAGGGTTGGGCTAGGCAAGGCCCCTGGGCCCAGAGACAAAGGAAAGATTTCAGCTCCCTCTCCCTAGGCAACCTGCCTGCTTCCTGCCCACCCCCAGGAGCCTTGCTGGGATAGAAGCATGCCCCTGGGGCAGGACTGGATGCTCAGCGAAACCAGCTTTGCAAACAAGTCCAAGCAGTGTGCCTGCCTCCTCTTGCAGGTCAGACAACAGCCCACACATGGCCTATGCGGAGACCCCGGCACCCCTCCAAGATCGGCCATAGCGCAAGGCAGCGTGCTGTGCCCGGAGTCTCCCATCATGCTGATCTCACCAGAAGATGGGAGCTTTAGCCGGCCATAAGAGCTTTGGGATGCCAGCCTCTGGGGTGCCCTGACAGGTTGTACCTCACACAGATTCAGAAAGAGAATTAACTGTCGTCCCAGATTCAAGCCCATCTCTCCCTCCACTTCCCCCTTCCCTCTCCTCTTCTCATGAATTCCTTGCTCACCCTTTCCTTTTTCTTCCTCTGAGTGGGACTGAGCACCCTCCACTTAATTACGTTCTCATTAAACAAGCCCTTAATAAATACACACCAATGGAAAGAGGGTTGTGCAACATAGCACCCTCACAAGTGATAATTAAACCGGGAGCACAGCAATTAGGCAAATCAGGAAACAAGAAAGGGGTGGGCAGATATACTACCAGTTACACGCTTATAGGAAGAGACTGGAACCCACAGAGGCCTCGTTGCAGCCCAAAGCCTTTGGACACTGCTTCTCTGTCTAAGAAAAGAGTATCTTGGGGGCTGGCAGGTGGCATGGTGGTTAAGGCACTAGACTCCCACATGGTCACCCTCAGTTCAAGTCCCAGATCTGGAGGCTTGCTTTCTCACTTTCCCTCTCACTGGTCAAATAATAATAATAATAATAATAATAATAATAATAATAATAAATTCAATTAATAATTCTAAAAAAGAAAAGGGCATCTTGTTGGGTTATCAACAGTCAGTTTAGTAGGAGCCAGGTGGTTGTGTAGCTGGACATACATAGGCAAGGTCCCGGGTTCACATCCCAGGCCCTTGGTGAGCATGCCAGTGCACCTGTGCTTGTCTGGGATCTGAGCTAGCTGAGATGGGGGAGGATTGCAGCATGAGGGCCCTGGGGGGTCTCTCCTTCTCTCAGAATAAATAAATAAACGTTCAGAATGCCCGTTAGTGTCAGTCCATGAGGCTGAGTTTGAGAGGGGAAGAGGCGTCCTAGGAGTGGAGTGCTCAAGCAGTGAAAACAGCAGCTCTGGACCCTCAAGCCTTTATCCTTCCATGGCCGCGTCCAGAGCCTCGCTCGTTCTTCAGCCCTTCCCTTAGCAGGCTTTGGTTAATGGGATGGCAGCTTGCAGGGTCACAGAGCCCCAGAGGCCTGGACCCTATCCCTCCTGACCATCAATAGGCCATGCACCCTTGGGAACATCACTGTCCCTCTCCGGACTATGGCTTCCTCACGCTTAGGAGAGCTCCTTACGATGGTTTCCAAAGTCCCTGCCAACTCTGAGACCCCCAGGGAACATCCCCAGTTGGCTGCCAAGTCGTCTCCACATCTCTCCCACCCCAGACTGGGAGCAAGGGTGTCATCTATGTCCAGGCTCAGGGCAATGTCCGTATGAGGGATCAGTCAATGGCTGCATGGGGGAAACACAAGGGAGGATGCTGCTTGTGGTCCCTGGGCAGGTCTGGGGGTACGGGGTGGGGGGCAGGACAGGTGGGGCCAGTCCTGGGACCTGCTGGTCTCTCACCTGCAAGTCGCTCGCTCTCTCCCCGGCTCCTACAGGGTAGCTCAGGCTTCATCCAAACCTGCTCCAATGGGCCTCCACCCTGCCTGGTCTACCCAGCTGAACAGTCATCTGAGGAGGTAGGGCCTTCCACCTTTCATGAGCCTCTGCCCGTGACAGCGCACACACACACACGCACGCATGCACGCAATTTTGGGGGCTCTCTTGGTTGTCTGAAGCAGGCCAGTTATTCATATTCTATAAATATTCTACAGCCCAGGGACCGACATCCCACTACCCAGCAGGGCAGCAGGAAGAAGGGAAGCCAGGAATGGAAAGAGGGTTAGTTTAATGTCTGTATGAGTCTGAATTCCTCAATGACCTTTAGCCCTGCCATGGTCCCAATGGCCAGCCCAGCATGGGATAAGGGGAGTGACACCGTGCCCACCCACACAAGGAGTTTTGGGCCTCACTGAGTGTACTCCATCAGGGTCACTGTGAAACCAGCTTGGCAAAGCCACCGGAGGAAGCACCAGTGTCTTCCAGCCAGGGATGTAAATAAACCGTGGCTCGAGAATGACAGAAACCCTCTGTGCCCTCCCCACCATCAGTCCCAGCCGGCCAGGTCTGCCTACAATTCACATCTGCAGAAACAGCAGCAACTTTCCTGAGCGGTTCTATCTCCCCATTTTCACCACGGATCCCTCCCCACGTGCCTGACCCAATGGGGAAAGCTGCAGAAAGCCAAATCCAGCAAATGCGATCAGGAAGAGGTCCAGGTGCCAGAGCCGGAGTCGGCTTACATTGACGTCTGGCTGTGATTTAGGAGATTATATTCTGAACCAAGAAATATCATCCCCTAATCTTTTAGTTTGACACTTAAAACTGTCATGTGCATATTAATAGATATTAATAATACTGTATTTCCCTCTGTGTCCTTTGGACACAGCTCCTCAGTCTTCATAGTCACCCCCAAAAAGGAAGAGCCAGGAGCAGTTCAAACAGGTCCTCCCCCATGTAATCTCTCTGTAGGGAGAGAGAGAAGGTCCTTCCCAATGTGGCTTTGAAGGTTCTCCAAGCCGCTGACCCCTTTCCTGCCCTGAGGAAGTGGAGAGCAGAGGAGCCAAGCAGAAAAGAACCCAGGAGGAAGGGGTGTGCCCCCTCCCCCACTGGTGCATGCCTGCTGCCTGGAAAACAAGCCAACAGCCGTCGGCCAAGGTGGCAATGCCATCTCAACAAGCCCACGTGCATCCCTCCTGGCATCCCTACACCCACAGCACAGAGGCCCTCCCCAGCACGCCTGAACCTCACAACTCTGCAGTCCCAAGATCCCGCTCCAAAAGCCGGGAGCTGACGGTGCCAGAGACAGCACAAAACTAATTAGGAAGCTGGCGGACTGACGGACGGGGTAGGGGGACGCGCACCGCCCCGAAGGAGTACAGCCTCTGAGACAGGCATCGGGCAGGAAGCCGAGGGCCACCGCGCTCATTCTGTGCGCAACTCCAACGCCCACCAGGTCCAAGGCAAGGCATCCCCCTCCTCGAGTGTCTCGTCTCTTGGGGTGGGGGTGGGGGAAAGAAGAGGAGAGAGAACAGACCAAGTTGGGGCGCCTTACCCAAAAGCCCAGTGCCCAGCCATCTCGCCAGGGCTTTGCCTCGGTTTCCAGCCCAGGGCATCGTCCTGTCCTCTCTGGAGCGCGCCGGGGAGCGGGGATGGGGTAAGGGACACAGCCGCGCTCTTCGTCCGAGGTCGGCAGCTGGCCCGAAACTGCCGGGGAGCTCTGAGCCGCCGGTCGGGGCTCGGGAAAGTTAGCGCGGAGAGAGCGAGAGGAGAGGAGGGGGAGGGAGAGGGGAGGGGGAGGCGCGTTGAGGCTGGAGCAGGCTGCGGGAGCGGCGGCGGGAGGGAAGGAGGAGGAGGAGCCGGAGCAGGAGGGGGAGGACGCCGGAGCGGGCGCAGCGGCGGGCTAGGCTGCGCCTCGGCTC